ATTGGTGGACGGTACTTTCGGAAGACCAGATGTTTCGAGAAGTCGGGTACCATCGGACCAGAGACTGGGACTGGTACTGTAGTCGTAGTCTTTTCACGTAGACCGAACGACACAGTCCGTAAGAGAGTACTTAAACTTTCTTCGATACGTCATTATCATCTCGAACTAACCCCCTGATGAGGCCGTACTGGCGGCGGCCGAAACTAGTCGGGGCAGCCAGTCTACTCTTCCTTCGGCGTTTTCTAGATTTCTTTACGGAGTGGAGGAGTGGAAGAAGCCATAGCTTATGCTATGCGAGGTCTGGGTTTTTTTGCTGTTTATGAGAGACCTCTTTCGAGAGTTTCGAGAGTTTCGCATATTTGCTATTCGTGCATGACACGCACGTGTGGTTATGTGTTTTCAGCACTTTGGGTCGACTGGTTTGACTCTACTTGCTTTCATCATCAAATAAATCGCTTATGGACGGCCATATGCTAATCTTCTCCGTATTGTTCCAAGTAAGGGGCTGATCCGACTACTGCTACGGAGCGTAGTCTACTGGTTTTGACGGGATCCGACTACTTTTCGATTTTGTAGGTCTCCCCGTCGAGTTCGGCAGCAAGTGAAAACAAAAGTGTACGTGGCAGGTGTTCCGCGACCTGCGGCGAAAAAGAAGTTGCTAAAATCGAAAGAAGCCAGCACCGTCCCCGCATTGAAAAAGAAAGCGTTTTTTTTTTTTTTTTTTTTGGTTTTTCTTGTGTCCGGTGGTCCGGCTTCCGTCCGTTCGATGCTGGGCCTGCATGCCCCGCCCACGATTACCCGGCACGAACTTCGAAAAAGTCCCGCCCCAAGCGGGCAAGTGGGATGGAATTTCGCTTTTTTGGTCCGACCGGCACGGGGCCGAGCAACGCGGTTCTTTTTGGTTCTCCCCTTCAAACGTAGTAGTCGGATCAGCCCCTAACTCCACACCCTCTCCCCCTCCCCCACACACCAACAAAGTTTTTTATTTTTATTTTTTACCTGTCAAATCTTTTTTTTTTTTTTTTTTTTCATCACGACTTTCTTATCTTTTGTATTATACAAGCCCGGAAACGGGCCCGGCGTCCCTTCCAAAAAGTGCGCGGACCACTCAATCGATCACGGCATCACCGGCCAAGCCCATACCAATTATCTCTTCCCACTCACCTACTGATGTAGATTCCACAAAGATTTCTAGCCTCAGGTCACGCATGTCACCCTTGCGCAGGGGCCATGCTTTTTTTGTTTTTGTTTTTTTGGAAAAGCCGAGGGTGTTGTAGAGGCCAAGGACCAAAGCTAGGCGCAACTCAGACTAGCCGGAGCGACTTACATCCCTACCCTACCGTAGAGCTAAGCCATGCGTAAGTAGACCCCGTCATGTACCTGATAAACCCCCAGCCCGGTACCATAGTTGTGTGTATATGTGTGCCCAGAGGCTATGTACGTTTGTATGAGCCCCTAGGTTATGTGTATATATATTCAGGAGCCATGTCTGTATCTGCCCGAAGGCTGTGTGCTCTGTGTACCTGTAGAGCGCAGGGGCCATGCTAATCCTCTGTGTGTTTTTATTTATTTTTTCTTAAACATAACATTTTCATTCCAATGAGACCACTGGGGCACGGGAACACACCCCAACATATCGACCCGGTACAAACCCGCTGAGGCCAAAAATAAAAAATTCCACAGCAAATCTATGGCAGTATACTATCCTTGCTGCACAGGAAGAGCTACCTAATAGCATCAGGATAAGACTGCCGTCTGATGCTGAGTGACCCATCTAGCCATACTTAAAGAGTTCTGCTGACTACTCAGAGGGCATACTCACACTAGCTAGGCCTTTAAAATTGCAGAATCGCACAATCAGTGGCCAGATCGAGTCCTCCTTTTCAGAAGGACTCGATCTGGCCTTCTATTTTGCGATTCTGCGATCACAATGCCCATAGTAGGGTTGTTTGTGAGTATTCACGGTCTCAGAGTCTTCAGCTTTGATAATGGATTCTCTACTTCCCCCCCCCCCCCCCCCCCCCCCAAAAAAAAAAAAAAAAAAAAGTGTACTCTCCTTGCATTTACTAGAGGACCAAGGTCAGCCAGTGGTTGGCTGGCCCGCAGCTATGAACCAAACAAATTTTGCCGTATCAACTGGACTTCCTTCTTCCCCCGAATACAACGTACGTTATTATATAGCTGTATCTAGACTGAAAGATGGCTCAAATGCAGAGCTATAAAGACGGTACGTTGTATTCGGGGGAAGAAGGTAGGCCTATCTCAGTCCGTAAACCAATGAACTGTCGAATTACAGAGCTGAGTTGAAATCGAGCGCCAGAAGAATGATTTTGGAATTATTACCTCAAGGTCGTCCTTCTTTTTTTCCAAAAAAAACAAAAATAAAATTATTGTTATTACTTGTTAGAAAAAGAAAAGAAAGTATGTGAATCCAGCCCGTGCAAGGACAAAGGAGGGTCCCAGCAAAAAAACCGAAATCCAAAAAATCCGAAAAAAAACTATGTTATGCAGAAAAATAAACTGAACAACTTTTGCCTCAGGGTCACATCGAAATTCTTTACCAAATTTAAAATATAAAATAAAATGTTAAAATATTTTTTATTTTTTTTTAATTTTAAATCTTTTTGGCCCGGCCGGGCAAGTGACCCCGTGCCACTCCGGTAGCCTAGATGTGAATGAAAAAAAAGAAG